CTCTCTACCTTCCCTGGTATCTTCAGGGTTTAGAGCATGTCCACGTATGTTGAGCTTTGCAGGATGACACAGAGGCTGTGGAGAATGACTGTTAAGCCATTTTCAGACATGACCTCTGGGTAAAATCCGAAAAATTGGCTACAGAGTTTACCCTCAGTTCGCATTTCATACATGCACAACACAGCGGGAGGTTTTCTGCACAGACGCGTTCACAACAGCAACAAATCCTCCGCATTATTCAGGCGAGAAGTAGAGCAGCCGGGTGCAGCAGGCAGAGGCGGGAAGCGACGTATTAACTCCGCTGCAGAGATCACGTGATTTTCTTGACAACAAACGCCACAAACCCTCTTGACATCTTCGTCTGTGCCTTCTACTTGTGTTTCACCGCCTTTTTACCAGGAGATATTTGTTATCTTTTCATTTTTGTCGCGTGTTAGAAGAGCCATCAACCCCCTCACTCGCCTGCGGTAAATCCAGCAGTGGATCCCCTGCTGTGTTCCCACATCGACTTATCCTGGATTTCTACGGACATTATACTAGCAGGTCAGGCGGAGAAAGTCTGCAGTGCATATCTGAAAGCAGCTGTAGAGAGAACATAGCAACATCGATCATTACTGTAAAACTACACACATACCATTAGTGAAAGCAATGTATGCAACGGTAGTATTTCTATATAATCTAACTGTTACTTGCTTGAAACCTTTTGCTGCTGTATTTATCAGAGGATTTATCAGTTGGTTGATAATGAGGTGATAAGGGCATTTCTCAGACATACAGGTGTCACTGTTTGCTGACATTTATTTTATTTTACAGCATTTATGTTTGTTCTCTTAATCCAAGTTTGATGAATTTGGTTGTATTTGTTTTCTTATAATTTATAGTTATTCATAAACACGTTTATAATTAAAGTGTCCTCAATTACATTTCTTTGTCACAAGGGTTTGGTAATGACATCTTAGGAATCAATGCCATCTTTGCAATATATACATCAGCGGATATATTGGTATTAGTAATTATTTACTTACTGGTTTATGACATAAGCACCAAAGATGGGTTGTGCTCTAGTATTCAAACATTAGCAGTGGAGGTTGATAGCGACTTAGTCTTGAGGCAGTATCCTGGTATGTCATGGATATTTTTACAGATTTTTGGAGAAAAACAAAGAATTACTGGAATTGAGTGAAAGATGGGAATCTGAATTCTGATGGATTATTGTTACCATCACACTTGTAGCAGTTATGTCCTCTTGCTTCTCCCTCTGCAACCCTGCATCCTCTTCCCTCTAATGAAGCTCCTTCTCTGTGATCAAATATGGCTGGCCATGAAATGTAAGTCACTAACTATCGTCCAACACAGTTAATTTGGTTATAAGCCGTTTTGTCAGAGCTATGTTTGCCAAATTTGGTGCATGACCCACACTCAGAATAGCCCCAATTATGAGAATTAGACACAGGTTGAAGAATAACAGAACATCCCTGTAACAGTGCTGCTTTGTACCTGATCATTTACCTCGCACTATTTCCATTTAATTGGCTGCAGCTGTTGCACACTCCACTGAAGATACGTGCCGCTTTGTTTGAATCTGTGTGCACGTTCATTGTGCGCTGTTTGCATGAGCTGGATCAAATATCTCAGGTTTCACACATATTAGTTAAACATGTAGTTGTCTGTGTTTCTGTGCTCGGCTCCCCATCCCACGTAAACACACAGTTTAGCACACACGCACGCGCGCTCTACCTAAATAGCAGTAAATTGGACAGAGAAGGGCCACCTGGTTCCTGTGTGTTTCAGAGAGCTTTACTTTTAGGGCGAGCCTCGCTACTTAGTTAAACAAAAGGGCCTCCGTGTTGGTCCTCTAGATAAACACACTTTCCTGAGAAAACACGGACACGGTTACACTTTAACTTACCCAGGGAGGCCACAGCGACATCCTCCCGGACAGTTTAGGTCAGACTGGGCTAGAGTTCAGACCCGCAGCGAGAATCATGCGCTGCACGTGAAACCATGCTGGCCTGTCAAACAATGGAGCCTTTGACAGCCATGCCCCCCCTCCCCGGTCCACAGTACAGTCGGAGCACTGTCTCTCTAGGGCTTGGGTGTCACTCCCCATCTCTGTTGTGCTCCCCTGTAGCTGACCAGCTGGCTTCTAGGCTCTGGGATGTGAAAGCAGGCGCACAGAGGAGGTACAGTCAAAGTTCAGCCCAGATTAGCCCAGCAGAGAGGCCGGCAGCACCTCAGCCAAATGCAAACTACTCCTGCATAAATAACCTGATAAGATTAGACAGGAGGCTGAACTGCTCCTTTTTTAGTCTGAACCATCCCAGATCCTCTCAGCTCGACTATAAAAATATTTTTTTATTATGTGGTATTTTTTCATAGCATCTTTACACATATAAAACACTAGAATTGCTTTAACGATAAGTTAGATTAGTGTTTTTGCAATAACAGTGTTGTCTTCCAGTAGACACATTGACAAGGGTGCAGCAGAGGCATACAAACTGTTCAGAGTGGATTACAGGTGCTCTCTGTTATGCTCAGTTCACAATAAGTTCATACAGTCATTTCACAAGTGTTTTCTCAGTATCTCTGTAGATGTAAAACACAAAGGAAAACAGAGGTGAACTTGCAGTATATCGATCTGCCTGTATCACTGGGATAAAACAATGTGTTGAGTGGTCTTTTGCAGAGACAAGAATGCAGTGTCTTTGGTATAGGGTCAACCCTGGAGCCATTGTGCCAGTATTTACAGTACGTACAGTAAAAATAAAGGGTTGGATGAAGTAACAGTTTTCAGTATTTAAAACAATAAATAAAGGCTCCTTATCTTCATGGTGGATGGTGAACATAAATGCAAGCAATAAGTGTTATCTGATGATGTTGTTATGCGAAGCTGCCACCTCCCCCCGGCCCAACGGCAGTCATGTAAACAGACAGCACTCTGGAGGAATGCTGTACTCTGTGACCTCCCGCCCAGAGTGCTGTTACAGTGCACTGAGTTCAGCTGAAACAGCCTGCCCCATGCTGCGCCTCCCCAAAGCTCCGCCTCGCCCTACCCCAGCCTGAGGCCCCTCAGGGTGGAAAAAAACACACCTCTTTCACCCAACACCACCGCCTCCTCACATACATACGCAAACATGAATAGACACCCACACACACACACACACACACACACACACACACACAGAGACAAGTGCTCAAGTGCTCCCTTTCTTTATCATCCCAGCTGTCAAAGCAGCAAGGTTAGTTTCGACAGTTTCAATCTATCTTTGTTTGAAAGATCTTACAATTCGATTTATTATACTTAGCCCTGTCTCATACAGTTCATTTCGTTGAGTAAAGAATAATGCATATTGTTGTTGGATATATACTTTCAATAAAAACACAGATTTGTATTAATAAACTTGTGTCCAGTTCTAGGAAGCCTCTTTTAGTCATTACTTTCGCTCGTCAGTCAGTATTTGACATTTGCAAACCTCCTGACAAGCTGATGTACTGAGCTTGACTGCGATGGAAAATAAAAGTGCATGTTGTGAAACCAAAAGGCCAAGTTTGTGTTTTCTGAGAAATTAATCCCCTAATTTCTCAGAAAATGCAGTTCAGTAGAGGCAGTGTGTAGTGTCAAGCAGACACTGCCCTCTGCTGGAGTGCAAACAGAGAAGAGAGGGCAGGTCAGGGAGGAAAGAGGCCATGAGATGTTGGTTTTGTGACACACTGATTCACTCTTAAAGAGAAAGAGAAGAGGTGAGGCACAGACACTGAAACAGACGAGTGATATCTTTATATATTCAGTCTGCCTCTCAAACAGCTTCAGCTGTCGGCTCTTTCAAATGTCCTGAATAAATCAGGTGAGACATCAGGTGGAATGTCGAGTTGTATCTTGCTTATATCTGTCATGGGTAATGAATGTGAAGTGAATTTTATCACTGATTGCAGTAAAGGCTCACTGATTATCACTTCGCTGCACCTCATCACATTTGACTGTAATGTACACATATTTGTGTTGCCATGCACAAAATGAAGACACATGGAGACACAGGCATGCATGTGCGGAGGCATGCATGCACACACAGACACACAAACGCAGTTAGCCGATGTCTGAGGAAACGTGGAGCTGTCTGGTGCCATAGCAACCATTGCGGATATCCCACCCCTCCACAGCGAGAGGGGAAAAAAGAGAAGTGGCAGTGACAGATTGACAAGACCCTAATGAGATATTTGATACAGAGATGAACTCCATCCATCTATCTATCCATCCATCCATCTATCTATCCATCTGTCTTTCTAATGTCCCTGTCTTTTTGCCTCTCGCTCTCTCTATCTCTTTTTGTTTGTCTGTCTGTCTCTCTTTTTGTCTTTCGCTCTGTTTTTATAATGTATTTGTGTCTGTCGCTGTGTGTCTATTTCTGTCTGTCGCTCTCTCTCTCTCTGTCTGTCCGTCTCCCTCTGTCTTTCTCTTCCTCTCTCTCTCTGTGTCTATCTGGTTGTCTGGCACTTTGTCAGAGTGACACCAAATGGGGAAGTCGAAGCCTTAAAATATGGGGACAAACAACATTGGGCGTATTTGAAAAAGGAAAATGGAAGAAAAAGAGCATTGGAGTGAGAGCAGGAGAAGGGGAGAGGGGGAGAACACACACTGATGAGGGAAAGGGGAGAAATGAAACGAGGCAAGAAGAAAAAGACTCCGACAACTCTCTGGGGCACGTCTGTCTGTTGTGAGCACGGAGCCACAGCCTGAAAACACAGACACTGCCGCAGTCTGCACCATCCTCCCTTTCACCGCCGTGACTCCCATTTGAACTGCAATCTCATATGTAATGCTATTATTCTGGCCCATATACCCAGTTACGTAACACTCCAAGCCAAATCCTGCCCTCATTCTACAAAGCAGCTACTCTCGCTCTGATCAAAATGTTGGGCTCCGTGTCAGTATGAATATTTGATGGTTTGAACAGCTATTTGCTCTTGATACTATCTAATCATCTTTGTTTTCTGTTTCTTAGGATCTTGTGTGAACTTCTGCAGAGGATGGAATCGGCGACCATGTTTGCCACCGGTAAGTTGAGCCTCACTTCCTGGGCTGGCCTGCAGGTGGAAGTCACACCCACTGCTCTGTGCTCTATACACACAGTGCAATACAAGCAACAACACCACAGTTAGGGGAAAGAAAATAAACTCCACTCCCATTTCACTGGGCCCCTGTCTGCCAAGTCTGGTCTGGTGTGATGTGACAAGGCGACAGATCGTTGATGGCCACTTCACCTTCATGCGAGGCTGCGGGGAGTGGGTGTCCGTGTTTTTGTTTTGTCTGTTCGATGTTGCTGTTGCTTATGTCAATGGTTTATGGCAGAAGACCACATGAAGTGACTCACAGCACAGGCGTGACCTAATTTTTTATTTTTTCGGAGACCAGTGTCACTGTGAGGTCTACGTGCGACGGCAGCCAGCTTTACTAATATTGTTCAGCTTCGATGTGCTGCCCTGAAGTGAGCCTGCGCTGCCGGAGAGGGTTGAATGAGACTTTAATTATCTGAAAAAAGTGGATGATAGATTTTAGATAAAAATGTGGACGTCTCCTGAGTGGTGCGACCTCTAGTAGGTGATCATCATAAATATACCTTAGGTTGAGGGTTTTACCTCAAAAATACTTAACCTCATATGACCTCATTTTACCGTGTTGTTGATACTTGCTGGGACAAGTTTACATGATGATAATTAAATTTTTTCACTCAGCCCTGCAAAATCTTAGAACTTGTTTAGTTCTCCAATGCATCCCTGTTCTCCCCTCTCTGTGAATTAAACTAATATAAAGTGCAATGAAAAGCATCCTGTTGCTCGCCTGCTGGTTCTCTGATACCTGGGGAAGCACAGAGCGCCTCGTCCGCCGCCTCTTCCTCCTCCCTTGGAGTGCAGCCCCACCTGATGCACACATCTGCTTGCCCACTCGTCTACGCCACGGCTTGGGGAAGCGGGGCGGTTGGTGGTCGTGGGGGGGGGCGGCAGTGGAGCAGGGTTGGAACGCCAGCCAATGACGCTCCTCATCCAGATAGCGTTGAAGTGACTTGACACACGTATTCAGCCAATCACAGAGCACTGCAGCAAAGACAGCAGCAGTAGTAGAAAAAAGAAAGAAAGAAAAGAGTAAATACAGTCAGAATTCTTTCAAAGGGGGCATCTTTGCTGTGCTGTGTCATAGTGTTCAGTAAGACAAAATGACAGTATTTCAATTGTTAGATCATAATAATTCAACCTTTCATGGATATTGAAACAATTATTATTTAATATCATGTTTTGAATCTGGCTCATGCAGATGTTAAAGTTCTACATTCTGTGTTTTGTTACTATGTCTTTGAAAACGATTAACTGTAGATACAATTGGGTTTATAATCATCAACATCTCATCCACTACTGTTATTCATAAGAAGAATATCGAATGGGATGGCTGCCCCTGAAATTACATATCAATCTGTTCAATGTTAAAAGACAAAGGAATACGACAGCCGATAATCAGTCTCTGTCTGAGCACCGTCTCTTTTGAATTTCAACTTTGGATTGCCCCTCAACTCACCTTCATCTGAAGCCAGATCACATAATCTTCACACAAGGTCATTGACACAGTCTTTTAATAACGTAGAGTTTTGTCTGTCTCTCTTTCACTTTTTCTTCCACTCTTTCATTCAGTGAAGTCCTAAACATCCGTACGTCCCAAACTCACTTCCTCAAATATGTGGAGCACTTTGTTGCTTCTGCACTGTTCTCAAAACTCAGCCCTGTCACTTCTTAAAGAATCAACCCAGAATGTGGGTTGTCAGTTTCAGGACCTGTCGAGTCCGTCACCGCAGAAAAATAGACTCACTACCTTCAGTGACACGGTGTGGCTGTACGGACTTAGCGTCTGCAGATATGTGTCAGACAGCAGTGGCCAGCCAGCAGAAGGACTGTGTGTCAGTGTGCACGTTGGTGGGCACTGTTCCCTCAGTGCTGTTATTTCTGCGAGTGAATTAGAGAAGGACGTAGACGACCAGTGCTGTGTTTTAATCGGGGTGTCTGTTGGTCACAAGAAAATATTTCACCAACGTGATGCAAGATAGCAACAGTCTTTCTGACCATCTGTGGGTTGACACAGTCTTAAATTTATTAACTCGTCAATTAAACCATGCGCGGTAAATACTTCTGGAGCTTTTTGAGCGACCTGAGAATCATGCACATTAAGCACAAACAAGATACGTTTCTATAGCTGCTCATTGTATTTAATAAGTTTAGTTAATACATTATTCAGCATGTTTTTCAAAGCTTTTTGAAACTAACTTCAATTCTTTTTTTGTGGAAATGTGAGATACAGGTTAAAAAACAAGTAAATCGTTTGTGTATGGGTCTGCATCAGAGTGCAGATGTGCTAGTAAGCAAGATGAGAAACATGCTACTGAACTGATTTTCCTGAATCTTGGTGGAAAGATGAGGTGGGGGTTAGGATTGAACCCATTTTACTTTGGTGCAGATCTTTAAAGGGATGAAGGATATTTGGGGAACTGGTATCTACATGCGTATGAAAACTCTATTGAATTCAAGGGGACTGATTGGGCCTTGACGGAGGTATGTGCTCTACAAAGGGCCACTCTAGTTTTATTTTTTGGGAGAGACATTTTCCCTCCAAGAGCTTTGTAACATTAGCTATTGATTATTGATGATTTTTAGAAGTAGAAGAAGCTGCAGAAATACCTTTTTAATTAATAAAAAAGTCTTCAGTTGGATTTAAGACTAGATTTCTTCCTCAACCTGTTAAGTTAAGAGTTTTTCTCTGAGGAAAATTCCACTGCAGTGGATTCATTGTAATATTTGTAAAATAAGTTGACAAATAACCCACTTATTTTAATTTGAAGAAGTTAAAATGTTCATGTTAAAAGTGTTTTTGCAAAGTCAGTGCCACTGAAATGACAGACTGTATGGACTGTAGTAATGAAAAGAATAGATTATTGATAAAACAATATTTGACCTGTTTAATTACTTCATAATTATTTTATATTCTCAGCTTGCTTTACTTGTAGTCAACATTTAAGGACACACATTGTATTCATTTAGGAGAAATAACAACCACATGCCCACTCTTTAACAACACAGAAATGCCATTCTGTCTGTAAAGGTATAATAACTGTCAGCATGCTGTACCTTCCATCTGTGTTTGAGTCAATAATATTCTGTTATTGATCTCCATTGTTCAAACAACTGGGATTCCTGCCACATAACTTAGATACTTTTTTAAATGGGCATGACAGGAATGTCTTTAAACCTTAACTCACAAACACCCGAAAGAGAAGAGACAGAAGAAGAAAACCAACCACTTTTATCTCACCAAAGTTAAATTCAGAGAAATAAGAATCCCAATGACCCGGTATTACCTTTCACTTTACTATTTAAATCACTGACTTGAGATTTTAGCTGCAGTTCAGATATCTGGAACAAGGGGACCTGAAAATAGGAGATCCAAAAATCTTAAATTGTAATCAAATTGTTCTTGTGTTATTTTGAGCTGAGCTAAGTTATGATGAGACGTCAGTTTGAACTATAAGTTTCAAGTAGTTCATGAAAACCACATTGATCTTGGGGTAGTGATACATTTTTTTCCGATGATTCTTGATTTTGTGATGACACAGTGGGATGATGGGGTCCATGCATAATAAGAGTATTATAGTAATGTGATTGTCACAAACTTCTGTTTGAGTCACACTGAGGAGAGAGACTGCTGTGCCCACTGTCTGTATCTGTCCCCCCACCCTCCATCCCACACCCAAAGCTTCACTGCTTCACAGCTATAGTTCATGACTCACCAGCTCATCTGTCCGTGTGTTTGTGTGGTTACACTTGATGGGGAGTCGTCTACCTTGTGGGGACAAAATGCAAAGCAAATCCCTATAATGTAAATCATGAAGACGTGTGTTGGGGTTGAGGTGAGGGTAATGTATACAGGCAAACGTGTGTGTGTGTGTCAGCGCGAACTGGAAAGGTTAAGGAGGCACATTGCAGACTTGGGTGGATCTCTGCCTCATGGCTTCGACCATGGACAAGATTATGTGAAAGAAGAATATTCTTGATTGTTCTGGATTGTGCGTGCGTGTGTGTGTGTGTACAGCTATCTTTGTGAGGACCAGTTTTAGCCTATAACCTGTGGAGTGAGGACATTTTTGTCAAAGTGAGGACATTTTGGCCAGTCCTCACTTTGTGACCCTCCTTTAATGGAGTGTTTGGGGCCAAGACTTGTTTTTAGGGTTAAGGGTTAGAACTAGGGTTGGGTCAGGGTAAGGCATTTAGTTGGGATGGTAAGGGGCTGGGGAATGCATTATGCCAATGAATGTCCTCACTAAGATAGAAGTGTGTGTGTGTGTGTGTGTGTGTGTGTGTGTGTGT